CCTTCGTTTCTTCCAAGTACTCTAGATACACAACCCACTTGCCTATTGGGTCAGCATTAGCTAAGCAGCTGTGCTTGCCATCCTGTAGGTGAGTGTATCTGATCTTCACTCTATCCACTATGTGACTTTGCTGGATAAATGACCCTTGATGAAAGACCTCAATGTCAACCTGCTCAAGGACCCTCCTGGAAATCCAGGAGTTGTCCTTCTCTCCTTATTCCCCATAAAACTCTCCTAACTTCTTCCTTTGGTTCTGACTTCATTCCTTGATGTTGTGGGACCACAAACTCTAGCAGGTCGATGGTTATTTTTCTCCTAAAGAAGCAAAAAGGTCTTGTGTAGACCATCTGACTTTTGGTGTTTTATGCTATGCTGTTCAATTTTTTCTGAAAATATGTATAACTCTGCCTTCAACCTGGGATGGGTACTTAATGCTTGATTTCTCTTTTTAGGTGATTTGTGTTGTGTTAGGCTGCAAGCTCAGGCCTTGGGTGGATGTCCTCAGGGGTCTGAAATTTCTCTGCAGAAACTGAGCTTCAGGCATGGATTCCCAGTCCTGGAGTTGGTCATTGTAGAGTTAGAAATTCAGGATCTGAAAGGAACCACAAACAAAAATAATGGTTCTGGTAAGAAATGTGGATCTTCTTTCTCTTCCCTTCAAGGCTGTTCTGTAGGATGAAACCTTTAAAATTAGCGAAGGACCATCCTCTGAGATGTCCAATCTTTACATAAGAGGAGTGAAACCCTTATTTGTGGATAGAGAAAGAACTTACGTTTGTTTGATCATCTTTCTGTTTTCTGGAATGGATGTCCGGGGCCATGAGTGCAGCGATGTGGGGAATTCAGGGTGGATTTATCCAAATTTGAGAATTATGGGTACAAATGGGAAGCACTGAGCATTCCAATGATTATTCAGATTGATCAACTCAATTGAATTGGAACAAAAAAGCCTTTTGATAAAATTCTAGTACAGAGTTATGAAATCAGTATAGCCTAAGGAACAGAACCAAGAAGTGCATGATCATCTCAAATGATACAGAAGAAGCCTCTGATGAAATTCAACATTGTTTCCTTATAAAAGCCCAGAAGAAAGTAGGCACAGAAAACTCCTGTGTCAACACAAAAGCTCTATGTGCCAGCTCCACAGCCGGCACCACACCGAATGGGGAAAAGCAGAAACCATTCCCTCCAAGATCAGGAAAAACACAAGGCTGCCCTCCCTCACTTTTCTTATTCAGTACAGTACTCAGAACTTCAGCCAAAACCATTAGACAAGAGAAAGAAATTATAGGGGTACAAAAAAGAAAGAAAGAAGACAGTATATTCCTGTTTGTAGATGATATGTTTCTATTCTTAGAAAATTCCAGACGCCACTAAAGACTCTTAGAACTGATACATTCAGTGAACGCACAGGATATAAAATGAACCTACAAGAATCGATAGCTTTTCTAATAATGAACTTGCTGAGAAAGAAATCAAGTAAGCAACCGCATTCACAATAACCGCCCTCCAAGGAAGTACCTAGGAATGGAATAAATTCAACCCGGGGGTGGTAGACCTCCGCCACAACAGTGACGAAGCACTGGGAAAAGAATTTCAAGGATGCTACACGGTGGGAGATCAGTGCTGGGACAAAACCAATTGAACAAGTGGGTGTCACCTGTCGTCATGGAGACCCAGGGAGGAGGCTCCAGAGAATCTGTTTTAGTGCTCAGAAATGCGCATGAGCCTAAAACTGCCTTAAAATAACTTTTACTTAAGAGACGTAAAGATTCCGAAAGGCATCGATTGAGCCAGTCAAAGACTAGAGACATGAGAACTGCGTGCAATGTAGAAGCAGGAGAGGGCAGCTTCCCGCTGATCCCCACAGCCTGCCGGTGCCTTTGGGAGGGTCGCCCGGGGGGCTCAGAGGAAAGGGACGGAGGAGCTCCACGCTCTGCATGCCTCTGCGAGTCTTTGAGCTCTGCACAGGTACTGCACCAGGCAGTGAGTCAGAGGACAACGACAGGGAGGGACCTCAGGCACTGACGTCATCAGAGGGGCGGGGCTAAAGGCACAGCGAGGCACCCCCCGCACAGCTCCTGGGGGCGGGCGGACCTTCCACAAACTCCTCAGCCTACAGAGTAGACAGGACTTTTCTAGCTCTCATGGGAGACCAGTGGCTTATCAGAGAGGTCCACGGGAGGACGGACGGCGGGACCCACGCGCACAAAGCATGCTGAGTACCTGTTACCTGGGATCCAGAAGCACTGAACTCGAATTCAGAGATTTGTCCCTAACTTAAGGCTGGGCATCAGCCACCTCTTACGCAGCTGCAACTCTTGGTGTTCCCAGGATGGCCACTTGGGGGAGCCCGAGTCCTCTGATTACACAGAGGAGCTCAGGAAAAAACCAGCCCACATTTTACAGAAACGAGGGTGGAAATCTCTCCAGGACAACTGCGCTTAGAGGAGTCACCCGTGACACACGGTGCTCACATCCAGTGATACCTGGAGACCTTTGTGGTCGCTTGCTCTCCAGGATTTCCTCTGCCCTGTTGCCTGGGACCTGGCTGCTCTCCCTCAGGCCCTCTGTCTCCTCCCTACTAGTCTGGCTTTGGTGCAACTGGCGTCCCCAGGAACCCATGAATATCCGACACAGCGCTCACCCTCTCCTCACTCTCCTTCCACCCCCAGAATGGCCCCGGTCCTGGTCTACTGTGGTGGGAGCTGAGGGGCAGCAGGAAAAGGGGTCCTGGGGCCTCTGGGGCTGGCCCCTCCTGAACACTGGGTTCAGGATTCATCCTTGGGGGCCTGTTCCCCTCTTCCGGTGTCTGTGGGACTCCTGGGATGTTGTGCTTTATATCCAGGTGTTCCCCAAAGCCTCACGTGCTCAAAGTGGAGCTTTGGGGGGGGGGCGACTGGGTCTGGGGTGCGGCATCACCAGCAGAGAGGTCTAGAGCTGGGGTGGTGGTGGGGGCCGTAGTCTGAGGGGAGGAGCTGAGTCACTGGTCATGGCCCAGAAGGGTCCCTCCCTCCTTCATTCCTCCTCGATGTCTCTCTCTGCCATCACCCCGCGGGCAGCTCCTCTACCAGGCCCCTGTGCTGTGCCCCCCTGCCCTGGAGCCCGCACACCATGGACTCAAACGTCTACAAACCGTGAGCTGTAGGTGTCGGGTATCTCAGCAGTGAGAGAGAAACTAAGACAAGGTGGAAGAAACAGAATCTGGTGACAGCTCCTCATGCCTGTGAGGCCTCTTTCCAGGCCCCAGCGAGTGGCAGGCAGTAGAAGCCAGGGCAGAGGACTTGGTGGCCGCCTTTAGGGCACTTTGGCCCCAACTCTGCCCTTTTCCAGAGCCAGGCACAGGCACCAGACCCTCTCCAACCTCCTCCAATCAGATGCAGCCCACAGCAGGTCACAGGGAACCTTGTACCACAGCCCCCATTACCGGCAGGTGACAGCTACATTCCGGCCACATGCAGGGCTCCTGGGACCTAGGGCTCCTGGGACCTGGCCTGGCCGCCTCTGTGGCCTTGAGCAGCACACCTGTCTTCACCAAGGCTCTGTCCCCATGCCGCTGGGCCCTGTTGAGCTGCGCTTGCTACCCTCGCCTTTGCTGGCCACCTCACCTCTCCCAGGGTGGTGCCAGGTGCAGCCCCACCCAGTGAGCTGAGTCCCAGTGCTGTGGCCCAGGTGCCTAGTGTGTGTCCTGCGTGTGATGAACCAGCGACCTCAGAACTGCTCCGTGACACTTCATTGCAGCCTAGGCTGTCCCCAGCCTCCCTCCCACTGTCCCCAAGCTGCTCCATGGAGCTGTCTACTTGACCCAGGGTACAGACTTTCCTGTAGTCACTGCCCAGGCAGTCCCAGAGAAGAAGGCTTTCGCATCCCAATGTGACCATGGGCACAGTCAGAACATCTCGCGAATCCTGAATTTCTGCTTGTGTACTCAGGCAGATAGGTACACAAAACACTAAAAGTGTCTGCAGAGACACACAGGCATGTGCACACGACATGCATGTTGTCTTCTAGCACACTCAGCACACAGATGCGTGCATGTGTACACACGCACATGAGCCAAGAAGCTGCTGCTGGGCCCACCTGAGGGACAGGAAGCTGAAAGCCAGGAGCCAATACCTGCAGAGGCCCGGGGCGTCAGAGCACTGCCACTTGAGCCCCAGGCGGTCCCTGGCCTTTCCGTCCTCTGAGTGAGAGTGGTTGCATAACCCAGTGACTGAGGGCAGTCTGGGCCCCGTCCCAGTGCTTGTGTATCTGTGTCCCGGGAGCCCCAATCCTTTTAGTCTCAGTGGCTGAGCCACCTGGATCCCTGACAGGTCCGAGGCTATCTGGGTCTGCATGGGTTCACATGGACATTGTGTGGGCGGGGCTGGCTCTTGGAGCGTCCTCTTCTGGGGCTCAGTACCCCATCTGTGGCATCAGCCTCTCCTGGGGTCTCAGAGCCCGGGAGCCCTGTTTGGATGTGGCCTTGGCCACAGGAACTCAGCCACCCTCCAGGATAAAGCTGCTGCCGCCTGGCCTGTGCCCAGTGGGATCCCAGCAAGCCACCTCTCTGCCCTGTGTCTAGGTGCTGTGTCTGAGGGTGAACCAATGGGCTCAGCTCACCGAGGGGTCCTCACAACTTCAGTCCCCGTGGGGAAGGGACTGGGAGCCCAGCCCCCTGGGCAGAAGTAGGGGCTTTTGGCCCAAGGATCTTAAGCTTGGGAGCACAGGCTGCTGGAGGGCCAGGGCATGCACGCAACCCTGCCGCTGACTGTCATGGCACCACCACCCCACTAAGCAGGGTCTGGGTGCTCCAGGGCCAGCATGGAGCGCTCTCATCCAAGAGCTAACTCATCCTGACCTTTCCAGCAGAAATACTTGTCGCCCCAGGGGTGCCAGCGGCCCGCCCCGTGTCCTGGTTATCTAAACATGCGGATCCGGGTGGTGAGGCTTGCTGGGTATATACACAGCCGTGCAGGGCCCTGCCTGCTTACGCACTGCTGACCCGACGGCACGTCAGGATGAAGCTGTTGCTGCTGCTGCTGAGCCTTGGACTGGGCCTGGCCTGCGCCCAGGGGGATTCCGGCGAGGCACCCGTGCAGCCAGACTTCCAGTCTGAGAAAGTGTGTGCCTGCCCTCAGGGGCAGCCCAGAGGGCACCCCATGTTTCCCGTCGCTTTTCTGGGGCCTGCCCTCGATGCCCTGTGTACCCCCAGCTCCCTGGGCACCACTGCCTTGCCCAGGCCTCCTCACCAGGTGTCCCCTGCCGGTTGACCCCGAGGCTTCTGCACCTGTGAGGACACCACTTGCTGGTGGGGGCTGGGTGTGGCTGTTGTCCATGGCCAGCAGGCGCCAGTTGAGCAGCGTGGTTGGGTGGGAGCAGAGTCAGCATCCCCAAAGTCCCGCCCAGCACAATCAGAGTTGGGGAATCTACACCCCACACACCTGCGGAGCACAGATGCCCTCCTGCTGTGGCCCAGGCTCTGGGCCCACCTGTGGGACCCAGCCTTCAGGTAGCACCTGTGCTGCAGGTGGAGGGACCCTGGCACACTCTCGAGCTGGGTGCTACTGACCGGTCCACGATTGAGGAAGGTGGGGCCTACCGGTGCTTCTTGACCAGCATCAGAAACCTGGCGAATAGGAACCTACACGTCACCTATTTCCAAAAGTGAGGGCCTGATCTGGCTGTATCCTAGCCTTTCCCGGGGACCCATCTGCTCCCTGCTCAGCTGGGGTCCTGGCTGCCCACCTGATGGGTGGGGCAGCACCTGCAGCTCCAGCAGGGTGAAGGTTCAAGGCGACATCTGGAAAAGCTGGCTTCCCTTTAGGAACAACGACGGGAAGTGCGTGGAGGACTTCTTCATCGGGGAGGAGACTGACACCCCCGGCCGCTACACCTTTGAGTGTGAGTGAGTGGAGAACCCATTTCCTACCCATGGGAGCCAGGCTGGTGCAGCTGGTTGCTGGTGCAGTGCAATGGGGAGAGAGGGTTTCTCTGGAAGCCACAGTGGAAAGGGGGTACAGAATGGAGAGGTGACCCCAAGACCTTCAGCCACACCCTCAGTACTTCAGAATCTTAGAGCAGCAGCCCACAACTGGGTCCCCAATTTCCCTGTAAACCATGTAAACCATGGGAGCCCCTTCTCCTGTCCAAAAAAATGGTCAGGGCTGGGGGGAGACCAGAGGGAGGAGCAGGGCTCAGGGCCTCCCACCCGGCCTGGCTCTGGGTGGGCTGTACCTCCAGGACAGTGGTCTCAGGAAGGCTTGTGACAGGGAGGCTGGAGTGGATGGGAGCTGAGGGGACAGGGATGCCACGCCTCACATGTTCAGGTTGGGGGGATGGGGCTGCAGAGGGGGCTGCTGGGCAGCCAGTGAGACGTGGACGGTGGGCCAGGACTGGGGAGCAGCTCGGGCCTCACACCTCCTCCTCCAGGCACCTACTATCCCCAGAGGCAGGGACACAGAGATGGAGAGATGAAGAGAGACACACAGAGGTGAGATAGGGCCAGGGAGCAGGAAGTCTGTTTTCTGAGCTGGAACCAAACAGCAATTTGAAAATGGGTGACGCCGGGGCAGGCAGGCAGGTTTTGTGCCCGGCAGCACCCTGTGCCCAGTGCCTAGTGCCACCTGGAAAGGCAGAGAGGCACAGGATGGGGCCATGTCACCACGGTATTCTTGGCTGGAGGATGGGGCTGGCTGCTGTGCCCTCTTGCACAGAAGCCAGTGAGAACAAAGGCACGACCAGGAGAGGACACGTGGTGATGTACTTGGCGAATCTCAGAAAGTGCATTTCTGGAACAGAGTGACCATCGCCTGGCCCTAAGAGGAAGGAGAAAGGCAGACTAATAATTGCCCTATGAAACGCTGCTGAGGAGTGACAGTCCCTTCTTCACTTACTACAAAACAGTGAACAGTGTACCTTTTTTTTTTTTTTGAGACAGGGTCTCACTCTGTAGTGCAGGCCGGCTTTGAACTCACCGTGCAGCCGTGACTGGCCCCAAGCTTTCCTTCCGCCTCAGAATCAATGCTGAGATTCTAGGCATGTGCCCTCATGCCTGGCTATCTCATGGCTTTTCTTGTTGCTATTTTTGTTTTTTGGCACTGGGGATCAAACTCATGACCTTGCACTTGCCAGGCTGGCACTTACCCACTGAGCTAAACGCCTGGGCCTGTCTCATGGCTTTTTTTTTTTTTTTTCGTTTTTTTTTTTATCGGTACCAGGGATCGAACTCACGACTGCCTGCTTGCAAGGCAGGCGCTTATGCCGCTGAGCTAAATCCCCAGCCCCTCTCATGGCTTTTTAATGTTCACACGTAACTGAACAGCTCTCACAGCCAGAGCTCAGGTCATGAGTGGGTGAATTGGCTTGTAGTTGGATGTGATTTCTGTTTTCAAGTTTCATTAGTGATTCCAGCTTGGTCAGCGCTGTCCTTGCTTTCTCTAAGAGTATGGACCAACTCCATTAGCAGTGTCCGGCTTCTCCCAGTGAGGGGACTGTCCCAGGAAGACCTGAAAAGGCTGCATGCGCAGGCTATAGCTGCAGGGAAATCCTTCACTGCCCCAGAGCCACCTGTTTGGATTGCGTTTATTAACCTGTTAAAGGCCATGGCTGAAGACACAGAAGCAAAGCTCCTATTTTTGTTCTTGACGATGCCAATTTAATTAGAATCCCCTATGGTTAAACTGCTGCCTTTTATTTAGTGAAAGGGATTTTAATGAGGTGTGTGTATAATGCCAAGTAAGGAATACTTAACGCTTCTCAAAAAAAAAAAGAGAGAGAGAGAAGACAGAGTCGGCTGGAGAGAACTCTTGGCACAGTGGCCTGCATCTGCGGGGCAGAAGCTTGGCTGAGCCTGGGGGAAGAGGGTCAGGGCTCCCGGGGCTGGGCAGGTGCGGGGCACAGGGTGGCTGGTGCAGGACCCTGACAGGCCTTGGGCCCTCATGGCTCCTGCTTCCCCATGTAGATAAAGGCAAGAACGTCTTGACTTTTGTGGCCGTGGGAGAAGACTATGTGATCATGGACTACGAGAACATCGACCTCGGCCTCGTGGTGGTCGAGCTGCTGGGTGGGTGACTACATGGGTGGTCAGTGGGAGGCGGGAGACCTTGTCTGGGCCCTCATACTGGGGGAGGGGGCAGTGGAGGGTGGTGAGGTTTGCTGGGCACCGAGTGGGTGGCCTCTAACCATGGGGCCCCGGGCTGCAGCTCGGCCTCCCTCGCTCTCCCCGCCTGGGCGGGAGGCCTTCAGGAAGTACCTGTCCAGACGCGGCATCGGGCCAGACGCCGTGGAGGACCTGACTGTGCAGGGTGAGTGTCCCTCCATCCTGCACCTCACACAGGGCCTCCCGGGGAGGTCAGGCTTGGAGGAGGGAGTCACGAGGGGCCAGGCCTTGGCGGTGAGGAGGTCCCCTGATCTCCCTTCTTTTTCTACCCTCAGCACGATGTCCCTAGGTGAGTGGATCCTGCGGTTCAGCTCTGCTCTTCTGGTGAGAGCTTTCGGGGATGCCGGCGAGCTCACCCTGCTGCATGGCCAGGAGTTCAGGGCCAGCCTGCATCTCTGTCCAGGGGACTAGGTGGACAAGCTATGTTGGGGGTCCCAGCCTCCTGGGACCCAGGGCGACCTCAGGGCTCAGAGGAGGCATGAAGGGGCACAGAATAGAGCATGGCCTCAGGGCTCCCCAATCTGCAGTCCCCCATCCTGGATGCCCCTCGTGCACACACACCGACTGTGCATAGCAGCCGCATGTGTACACACATCGCACACAGGTGTACATACTCTCAGGCACACATATACACACTCCTGTGCGCACACAGTCCTTTGAGCCACTCCCCAGTTGACCAGTCTCACCCTTGGTTTGCTCCCCATTTCCTGCTCCCCAATTTCCCTGCCCCTTCTTCCATGCAGACCCCTTTACTGGCCACCCTGTCTACCCTGTACCACTGCAGGCCACCCCAGTCCTCCCCCATTACCTGGCTTCGGGAGTGCCCCAACCCCACTCCTCCAGGGCAGTGGGGTTGAGGCCTTTCACCCCGTCCTCCTCAGCAGCCTGGGGCCGTGGGGACACACAGTCCCTCAGAGGCCCTAAAGTCACGGCCAGAAGCCACAGGAGGCTGGGGTCTGTGACCTCGAGGCCTTGGCCCTGGGGGAGAGGATGCATGCTGGGTGAAGAGATCGGAAGGCGCGGGCGTCCAGTGGGTCAACCAAGGGATACACAGGGATCCTGGGACGGGGACAGCGGGACAGTGGGGGGCAGGGTGTGGGAGGGGTCCCGCAGGGCTGGAGGTGCAGCAGAGCATGTGCTCCCCAGGTCCTTGAGAGCAGCTGTGACTGGAGCCAGCAGCCTTCACTTCCTGAACCCCGACCCCTACCAGCAATAAACAGATTCTGCATCTGCTCGTGGCTCTCGGCCTCCAGTCTGCATCCAGGAGCTGGTGGGGCTGCTGGACAGGGGTGGCAGAGCCTTGTGTCCCCAGCTCTCAAAGCAGTGCAGGCTGGGTTACAGGGGAGACCCAGAAAGCCAGGAACCAGGCACAGCTGGGCTGTGGAGGGGTGCAGGGAGTGCAGGGCCCCAGCCCCCGCCTGTCCTGCTGGCCCCTCCATGTCTCTGCCTGCTGGTGCCACGTGGGCACCAGTGGGGCAGCACTCAGGGTGTCAGGCTCTTGGCCAGAGCCTGCCAGAAGGAAGGAGGTGAAGCCCGGAGGCCAGAGGAGATGCAGAGGCGGGCTTCAGAGGAAGACACTGCCCTGGCAGACCAAGTTCTGCACCTGACCTCAAGGCCAGGACACATGGGGATGCACTGTGGGACTGTGGGGGGTCAGGAGGCAGGAAGGTTTGCACCAAGCGGGGACACAAACATGTTGGCCCAGGGCCAACTGCACTGTTCCTAAGGTCTGCACCTCAGGGGCCAAGCTATGTGGGTGCAAGGGCAGGGAGGACCCAGAGAGATCGCAGAGGCCAGGAAGGAGTCACTGTGCCTGCGTCCTCCCATCTGAGTCCTCCTGGCCTTATCCACTCCTGCACTGACCGGCCAGCCAGGTTGCGTCTGCAGGCTGCATGGACACAGGCATGGGTAGCCGCAGGAGGTCGCCTCTGCCCCAGGAAGGACCCGCTGGTCAGGGCATCAGCCAGGCAGCTGCTCTGGAACGGTGGCAGAGAAGAGGAGCCAGCTGGCTGGCTGGCGGCTGCTCCCGCTTGTCCCGACGCCACGATGCTGGAGCGGGGTGGGGGGGGGCTGTCTTGCTGCTGCTGACTCTCTGTCCGGGCCTGGCTGGGGCCCAGCAGACTCTGTACAAGGGGCCGGGGCATCCCAGTTTCAATGCATGGCAGGTGGGTGTCACGGGTCAGGTCCCCCTCGCCACGGGGTGAGGGGTTCCAGCAGTGGCAGGGGTTGGTGTCACAGGGCGCATCCAAGATCTCCATCCTCCTCGCCCTTGGGGTGATCACAAATAGTCTCCTCCTTGTCCGTCCCGTCTGCCTGGCCTTGGGGTTCTGGCAACCACAGTCAGGTGTAGGGCGAGGGTTGGGGACGGTGTGTGGGACTTGGTGGCTGTTCTGTCTGCCCTCCTCGGACTTGCAGGGGGCAGAACTCCAGACTGGGCGGGGCTGAAAGATGGTACATCAGGGAAGGGAGGCAGCAAGGAGGGCGTTTGTCCAGGAAGGCAGGGAGCCAAGTTTGTGCCCACCCGGAACCCATGGAGTCCACCCAGCTGCAGAGAGACGCAGCCTGCAGGCCCAGCTCAGAGCCCACGCCTGGCCTGGGAACAGCAGAGGTGGGGCCCAGCCAGCCTCAGCCTCCTGTGCCCACACCCGTAGGTGGAGGGACATAGGTTCACTGTCCAGCTGGCCACTGGCTACACGAGCTTGGTCTCTCTGGAGGCCCCCCCCAGCTGTCCCTCTACCCCACATAGGCCCAGGACACCAGTGACGTGGATTTGGTGCTGTTCTGGAAGTGAATGTGGTCCCAACAGCCTCAGGACCCCAGGGACAGCACCGTGGTCAGCATTAGCACCTGAGTGTGGCTGATCCCTGAAGATAAGGGGATGGCAGGACAGACAGCCTGTGGGACAGACTATGGCCAGCTGCGCCGTCCCCACTGCACACAGGCTGTGCTGTCTGGGGGACACTGAGTCTGGAGTTTCAAATGTGTGGTCTCTAGTGCTTACACATGGCCTGCTTAGCCTGGTAGCTCTGCCCGCCGCCACCCTGCATGGCCCCCTCTTTTTGGGAAGAAGTAAGGGGGATGAGGGGGGCACTTTCCATACCAGCCTCCCCACACCTGGGACCTGACCTTGAGCCTGGCCTGGGCACTCCCCACTCCTGTGTACCACTTGGGGGTGTGGGCAGCCAGGTGCTGCGGATGTTCAGTGTGACACAGGCTGAGGGCTGGGACTGGCAGTTGCCCCACCAGCAACCCAAAGATCATTTGTGGCTGGGGGTGTGGGTGGGAATTTGTGCTCCGAGCTGGGACTTGGGGATACCAGGACAGGCCCTGAGTGCAGGATCTGGAGCTCAGAGCTGGGGTACCATTTCCCCAACACCTGTCTCCCACCTAGCTGACAGGCTCTGGTGCCCCCAAGCTGGATGCTGGGTTGTGAGCCCAGATGCCCTCAGCAACCCCAGCAGAACTGCAAGGAGTCTACGCCCTGTGTGGGCTCCAGGGACAGGGGAGGGTGCTGGGTGTGAGCGCCCCTGTCTTCAGGGAAGAGAGTGGGTGCGAAGGAACAAATGTCACCACCCACCCACTGGGCTCCAGGGCCGGCACCAGGGCTCCTATAAATGCCCTCTGGGATCTGGGTCGGCTGGGATTCAGGAGGTGCTGCCTATGGCGTGCAGGGACAGGGTAGAGGTCCCAGTGCCACTGGCTGGGTCTCCCCAGTTGAGGGGGCCTCATGCACATCTGCTCTGTCCCATGAACCACACCAGCCTCATCCTTCACCGTTGATTTGAGGACACCGAGGTCACCAGGCTATGGGTGCTGCCTGGGGGAGGCAGGGCTGTGGGTATCAATCAGCTGGGAGGTCTCTGTCCTGGTCAGGGAGCAGGACATTGAGTCCTGGGGTGTTGGAGGAGACCTGGTGTGTGGGGAAGGGAAGGGAAAGGCATCCTGAAGGCCAGAGATGCAGCCACACCCTAGTCTTGGAGGCTGTGGCAACACTGCAGAGGGCCGGGCCCTGGGAAAGGGGGTGACTGTTGGGGGGCAGTGTCAGTGTGCCAAGGAGGGGTCGAGGGCAGGGTCTGGTGGGGGGAGGCCTCAGCCCGGGAGGCGGCAGGGCAGGAGGCACCCACCTGAGACACAGTGTGGGCACCAGTGCTGCGGCTCAAGCCCACCACAAGGTCCCACAGGGAAGCGGGCTCAGAGCCTTCACCTTGGCCAGGCCCCCCTTTCCAGCGAGGAGCCTTCCCGGAATCCCGTGTGACTGCCGTTTCTGGGAGCGCAAGCTCTTCTACCTGCACACAGCCGGGGATGGTAACAAGGAAGACAGTAACAAGTGAAGACCAGCAGATCTCTCCAGACCCAAAGACAGTCTGAGGGGCTCAGACACCTCCAGGAGCAAGGCAGAGCTGCATAGCAGGAGCAGGAGGAGCAGGGAGCATCCAGCTCTCAGGCCTCTCAAGCCCAGTGTCCAGCTGGCCCCGGCCCTGTGCCAGCTCCCTGTGTGTCAATTAGTCAATCAACATATCACACAGTCATACCTGCTCTGGGTGCCCGAATACCCACAGAACAGGCACCTTCTCCAGCCTGGAGCGGGTCTGGGCGAGCCAGCAGAGGCAGGGACGTGAAAGTAGGAGACACAAAGCCAGTGGGGCTGGAGCTGGACCGGGGCTCAGGGCCCAGCTGTGTGCTTGAAAGCCAGGACAGCCATCAGAGATGCAGGGCTGGGCTTCCGCCAGAGTACCAGGCGTGGGCCATCCGGACTCGGCCGCCACAGGGGCACGAGGGTGCCTGGGGACACAGTGTGTGCCGTGATGCTTGGGGTCACAGATGGAAGATGGCCCTCCTCTGTCCCCACAGCCTGGTGCCCCCCCCACAAGCTGGGGTGCAGCTGCTCACTGGCTTCCTGCTGGGCCCACCCTGTGCAATACCCTCAGCTCCTTTCTTTCACCTGGTCCAGAAGCCCTTCTGCTTGGAGCCCCCCTTCCGGTCTGGGCCACTGGGTCCCACCAGCCCACACCACCCAAGGAACCGCAATGCCTCCAGCTGCCCACGGCCGGAAGAACCCGGGAGATGTGAGGAGGAGCACGGGGCTACTGGTCCCACATCTGTGAGCCGGCCCAGACCCTCAGGCCTAGGTGGAGCGTTCCACTCCAGCGCCCCAGAACCGCTCCCACTGGTTCTGCAGACAGGAGCTCCACTCTGGCCTGCTCCAGGCAACCAGGCCCAGGAAAATGGGGTCAGACATGCGAGACTTCCATCCAGAGGCCTCAGAGAGGGGGGTTGAGCCCAAGGCCTTCACACTGGGCTATATTGAGCTATATCCTCTGCTATTTTTATTTTTGAGCCAGGGTTTCACTTAGAGCTAAGTTGCCCTGGCTGGCCACAAATGTAATCCTCCTGCCTCAGCCTCCCAGAGCGTAGGATTATAGCCCTGTGCCATCATGCTTGACTAAAAGTTAAATGTTTTTAAGACCCATTAATGCACACTGTCAGAAACGCCTGCTAGGAGCGAGGATGGAGCAGGAGGCTGCATCGACCCCATTTTCCTGCGTCCTTAAGTGAGCTTCCTCTAGGACGAGCAGCTCTAGACGCTGACAAATTTACTTGCCATCCTCAATGTGGTGGGATCCTGGCATTCAGGAGGCTGAGGCAGGAAGACCACTGCAAGTTCAAGGCCAGCCTCGGCTACATAGTGAGTTCAAGATCAGGCTGAACTGCATCTCTAGATCATCTTTTTTTTTTTTTTTTTTTTTTTTTTTTTTTTTTGTCTTTTTCCTTTTTACCCGTACCAGGGATCGAACTCACGACTTCCTGCTTGCAAGGCAGGTGCTTATGCCCCTGAGCTAGATCCCCAGCCCCCTCTAGATCATCTTAAAAAAAAAAGCTCACCTGTTATTTTGCAGATAAATCAAGGAATTCAGAGTGATTTAATATTGTCCATGATATTTCTAAAGGCAAATTTTAGAAATATGTTCAATAAATTACCCTTATCCATAAATTGGTCAGGGAAAATATCTTGTTTAGTGCAATCTCCTTTCCTAACCCAGCTGAGTAATAATTGTAAGTCTGAGGGTTACGGGTAACTTCCCCCACTCTGTCTCTCTCTCTCTCAACATGGTCTTATGATGTAGCCCAGGCTGGCCTCAGATTCATGGTGACCCTCACTATGGTGACGTCTCGGCTTGCTACATGCTGGGATTGCAGGTGTCACCATCAAGTCTGGCCCTAGTTCCTCTGTCCTGAAATCCATGCAGGCGGATTTTAATGGAGAAAGACTGCCAGATGCAAGGATAGTGTCACCAGAAATGTCATCTTCCTTGTCTTAGGGACAGCAACAGGGGAGGTGGAGACTCCTGGACTATGGTGAGGTGACGTCACGGAGGACACTCAGGTGTCGGCCTCAGGCCCGACCCAGAAACCAAGCCTGGTGTCTCCTTCTGGTTCCCATTTCTGACATGGGCGCTGGGCACTCTGTGTTAAGTGTTCCCGTGCTGGTCTGTGACTCGCTGGTCCCTTACATACAGAGCACGGAGTACATATAGGGCTGGTCACCAGGGCTTGGACAGAGGGCCCAGGCTGGGCAGTATCGGCTACTGCCCCCCAGTCTCTTGTGCCCTGGAGGCGGCAGTCTGAGATCACAGTCATGGGGCTGGCTCAGCTGAGGCATCCCTCCGTGCCCCGCCACAGTCTTTTCTCTGTCCTCATAGGTGCACTCTGAGTGGGTCTGCGTCGTGGTCTTGCACACTGGATTGAGGCTGCAGCTAGAGCTTTGTTCACATCTTTGGAGCTGGGGGACTCTGTTCAGCCACACTGCCTCCCAGGACCGCCCACAACTCTGCAGGCCCCAAAGCCTGCCCTGGAGTTGGCAGCCAACATGGGGCCCTGGCCCCATCAGGTTACACCTCCAAGTGGGGAGCTCGGTTCCATGGACAGCCTGACCCCCAGAGACCACAGGCAGCCGGGGACACGGTTCTGCCTGGCTCCATTCTGGCCGAGCCCCTGCTCTAGGAGCTGCACAGTCACCTCTGCTAAGTTCAGACGAAACAGCTGCTGCCGTGAAGCCAAGGGTTCACCCCTCTCTGCAACCACAGATGCTGGGCCCAGGCCGGAGACCCGTCCCGGGTTGAAACCCCGCAGTGTAACTGATGCCCGAGCGGAGGGATATGTGCTTTCTCTTTTACATTCAACGCTTCCATTTTGTGACTAGATTTTTATTACTTTATAAACTAGAGTCTTCTATTAAAAATAATGGTTCTGCATCCCAAGTATTTCCGTGTTTTCTCCAATACAGAGCTGGCATGCTACTGTGTGTAGACCTCAAATAACCCTCCTCTGTCCTTTGCCCTCTATTTGCCAAACTGGACGGGTAAAAGCCGCAAGGAGGGAAATCTCTTTGGGGAGGGGCTCATTTTCAGCCTCCAGGGGATGGACAGCTGCCCGGACACTCAGGGGCTGGCCTCAGACCTCCTGTTGCTGTGCCACCTTGATGTACCTCACCTGGGGAGGGAGGTTGAACCTGAGGTCCCAGCCATACTCGGGGGACAGCAGTTTGGTGGGCTTGTGGAGGAAAAAGTACTTGTTGAGGTACTTCTCAAAGGTGCTGTTAAGCCCATTCTGCAGGTCCTGAACCATGCCCTTCAGACACCACTCTACCAGGTCCAGCACCTGCCAGGGCGTGCCACCCAGGATGGTGTCCCCATAGTAGAAGTCGCCTTGTCCCAAGGGGATGTAAGCCTCCGAGCTGGACCTGCGCTCGTATGGGAGGATTTGGTTCTGGAAGTACCACCAGATGTGTAGCTGGGCCACCAATGTGCCCAGTGTCTCCAGGCCAAAGTCGCCCTGGAAGAACAAGCTGCTGTCCATGCTGAAGAAGAAGTCCACCTCCTCCCTGATGTGGCTCACCAGGTGCTCCTCCAGGACTTTCAGGCACATGAGCTTCAGGCTTGGCAACCACCACTCCTCGTCCATCATGAGGATCTGGAAGCTCTGCAGGGGCCTGGGCTCTATGTCAGGTGGCTCCACGTAGCTATCCAGGATGATATAGAAGATCACCCGCTGGCCGGGCATGAAGTGCACAGCAGCTGAGCGCAGGAACCGCTCCATGTGGTCACTTGCTGTCCTGGGGCACACAGAGCAGTGGCTGTGCACTGGAGCCCAGAGGACAACCTACATGCTGACCAAAGTGTTGCTGATGCTAAAGGTCACCAAAGGGCAGGGTCAGCATTTGGGTCCCAGTGCACAACCCACTGGGCTGGCTACACAGCACCAGTATTAGGAATTGACTTTGGAAGAGCTGAGTGGATGTGCTGGGGTGGGGGTCAGAGTACATTTCGGAAGCAGCCACAGTGGGGAAAGAGCAACACATTTTCTGTGCAGGCCACAAAGGCTGCTCAGAGTAGCAGGGGCCCCAGGAAGCTTCCAGAATAGAAAGGGCAAAGGTGGGGGGGGCACTTACCTGGTAGAGACGCAGGTGGCCAGCCCCATGGTGAGGTTCTGATCCCTGTAATGCCTGCGCAGGGCCTGCCTGCTGAAGGTGCCTTCCCACAACACGGGGGCCAGCCAGTCGGTGACCGTGAGGACATCCGGGCGTTTCCTGTGGGACGCACAGAATGAGCCGAGTAGGTGGCAACACAACTCATGTTTCTGGGCACCTGCTGGCCACTGGGCAGGCAGCAGACACAGTCGTTCACACAGCCTGGCGGGACCACAGGAGAGCCCCGTGCCCTGTGTGTTGGCCAGGCAGGAACTGGGCATGGGCAGCAGCTGCCATAGAGCTGCCACACGGTTAGTGCAGTCACACCGGGACACAGTAGCCATGAGGTCCCCACCCCACCTCCACCTCTGAGCCTAGGGCCACAGGGAGGGAGCCGGAGTCTTCGCATTCTTGTCACCACCCAGAGCTGCGTGGTCTGAGCAGCAAGTGCCTGCCTTCCCTCTGTCCTGGCTCTCACCGCCTGGGCAGCCTGGCACACACAGAAGCTGCCTGTGTGGTCCTGTGGAAATGAGTCCAGGCAGGAGAGAGATCACTTTCAGCTGCCGGGAGTAACAGCAGGGTCTGGAAGGCACAGGCAAAGCCCCACCCCACGTGACTCACAGGGGTCATGGAGTGTGTGGGGTCTGACCGGCACTTGGAGGGACACAGGGGTGACCTGGTCCTGGCTTTGGTTAAGGACGCCTCCCAAAGACCCCCATGCTCAGAGCTGGAGGTGGGGAAGATAGTCTGTGGGAAGCGGGTGTATATCTCTCCCTGGACCCAAAGGCCGGCAGCAGCTCTCCCCGACTAGGCCCCTGTCATGACTTTCTGCCCAGGAGCCAGTTGGCTGCAGCTGTAGCTCGTCCAGCTGTGTCTCAGTGGTGAGAAGGGGCTACATGAGAGGCACCTCAGCTTGATACAGAATAGCTACCCAAGCTCTCAGCCAGCACCGGACAGAGACCAGGCTGCGAGAGCCACTGCCCAGGCTCACGCGGCAAAAGGGTGGACATTCGGGCCGCTGCAGCAGGGCGGGAGGAAAGGGGGGATAACCTCGTCCACCTCAGTCCTCTTGCTTGACCGTCCACAGACAATCTTGGGAGTCTAGGAAGGTGATTGCAGGGAAGAGGAGGGGTCCACGGGACTGAGCGCCGAGATCCAGCCAGTGCCAAGGCCCGGTGGCTGCAGCCAGCCCCACACTGGGCCCTATGGGGGCGTGGCAGACTGCGGCTGTGATATGGGCTCGTGTCCCAGGGAAGGGAAGCTCTGGGTCCTGTCCAGGCTCTGTGGCTGACTTTCTGAAGAGTGACACACCAATTAGGCTGGCAGTCTTTTCCATATCCGGAATACCAGACCTGCAGCAGTACATGAGCTGCAGGCATTTCCGGTTCAGGGCGTCTTTCGTCCACTCTCTTGATAATGACCATGACAGTGATGGTACCCGCTTTTTGCCTGGACTTCCTTATGCTGGCTGTGCTGTGGCCTCAGCAGTCTGAAGAATTTCCCTCCCCTTTCCAGTCTGGTGAGTGTTCATATTACAGAAGAATGTCAAGGCTGCCAAGCACCGGAGCATGTTGGGATACTCTCGCAGTTTTCATTTCCCTCCATGAACACTGTGAATTGCGCTGATAGCTAGTTGGCCCACCTTGCAGTCCTGTGACAACTCCCACCTGTCTGACCCTTTCCTACACAGCTGGGCCAACCTTCTAGTATTCGGCTCAGGAGTTTTGCCTCGTACATGCACGGACGTGGGTCTGTTCCCTTCTCAGGGCGTCTTTCTCTGAAATCGCTAACTCTGGCCTCCCAGAATGCTGTCTTTGTTTTTTAATTTGTTTAAGACAACCAGGTGTCTGTCTTTGTTTTTTAATTTCTTTGAACCTTGCGAAGGGCTGGTATGAATCCTTCCTTTCATGTGCAATATGTTTCCCTGTGAAGTCCCCTGGCCCCAGCCCCGGAGCACATCTCATGAGGCACTTAAATGATTATGAATTCAATCTACTGACCCATTTTGGGTCTGTTCAAATCTTCTTTCTCCTGAAGTCTTTTGAGATTCCTGAGAGTCCATGTCTTCCTAGAAGCAGGCTATCTGGGCTGTCGAAACCCACGTACTCACTGTATTCATTTGATTTCCACAGTTAGGGGACCTCTGTCACCCCAATTCTCAGCCTTTCTTTGTCTGTGCCATGGGGCTCTTCAAAGAACCAACTCTGGTGCTGCTGATTTTCTCAACTGTTTTTCTGCGCTTTCCTTTTTGGCGCTAGGAATCGAGTGGAGGCCCTGCGGCTGGCAGGCCATGCCCCTGAGCTCTCTCCCGACCTTCGACTGTTTTTCTGCCTTGCCCTGGTTTTTATTTTCCCTCCACTTGCCTCCTTCTGCGTGCCCCTCTGCCCTTCCTCCTTGGGGATGGGAGGTCCCTGTGGCCAGGCTCACGGTGTGCAGGCGCTGTGCCCTGGGTGCCGTGTGTTTCTGCTGGTTCATCACGGCTGCTTTCTGATTCCTGGGTGGTTCCCCCTTCGTTGCTGCTCATTTCAGAATGAACTGCTTAATTTCTGCACACCAGGGAACTCCCCAAACTTCTGTCACTGATTTCTAATTTCACTTCCTTTTGGTCCAAGAACACACCTGGCATGACTTAAAGCCTTTGGATGCCCTGAGACCCACTGCACCCTGGAGCTCCTGGTCTGTCCCGGAGATAGGACAGGTTCCCTGTGCCCCTGAGAAGGGTGTGAGGTCCAATGTGCTGTGCGGAGGGCCTCCCGTTTCCTTGGGGGTCTTGTTCTTCCTCTTCTGTTCCTCCTCCTCCTCTACGTCCTTCTCCTCTTCTTCTTTCCTTCCTTCTTGTGTTTTGGGTTTTTGAGACTGGATCTCAATATGCAGTTCAGGCTCACCTTGAATTCCCTAGGTAGCCTACAGTGGCCTTGAACTTGTGGTGATCCCCCTGCCTCAGCCTCCTGAATGTGGAGATCACAGATGTGGGTCACCAGCCCGGCATTCCTGGTTGGTCTTCTGTCTTATTCTTCCGTCCATTGTTGGGATGAGAATATTGAAATTGCTACCTGTTCTTGCCAAGCCTCCTATTTCCCTCATGGATTTGGTCAGCGTTCGCTTCGTTTAGCTGGGGATCTGTTGCTAGGTACAAACGTTCAGATTGCTGTCTCACCATTTGCCATGGTCTGTTTAGTCTGACTTTGGTACAGGTTCTTGGCCTTTCCTTCAGTTAAGCTGTGTGGCAGACATGTTCGATCTTTTATTTACACCTATCGTGTCTTTGAATCGCGACTGTTTCTTGTAGGCCGCACACAGCTGGGCTGGGTTTGCGCCACGCTAACGCTCTCTGACTTTCCATGGCAGTGTCTTCTCCACTCCCAGTCATCTTGCCGTTTCCCTTCTGCAGGTCTCTGTTCCCCTTTCCCTCATTTAATGACTCCTCATGTGTTACGTGTTTTCCAGAGTGCTTTTTTAACTCCCTCATTTCTTTGCTATCCACTACTTACCTGTTTTCTTTACATTTGCCCTGTGAACGACAAAACCTTAATCTACAGTGATCTAGCCAGGCTAATGCCGGTCACACTCGCCAGGAGACAAAGCTGATCTCCTAGGCGGCTTCACACCCTCTGGGCCTCTGCGCTGCTGTGGCCACGAAATGAGGTCTTTAGGCCTGAATCAGACAGCTGAGCCGCAGTGCACCCCACGTGCCTCCCGTATCCCTGCGGTCACCTTTCCTGGCACTCTGCCCGTGTGGTTCTGGTCCTCTCGGTCAGTAGCCTTGCTTTTAGCCTGTATTGGTTCCCATAGGGCATGTCTGTGAGAGGTGGTCTTTCTGGCGGCTGTGTCACTGGGATGGGATGGGGCTGGCAGCCTCAGCACGTCTGGCAGCACCTGAAGATCCAGCCTCATGCCTGGCGTTGCTGCCGCCTGAGGAAAACATGGCTGCAGTCCCTTTCCAGCCCCTGAGAATGATGTGTCCTTTCTCTCTTCGCTCTCGGGCTCTTGGTCTTGGCCTCGCTGGACTGATGACAAGGACCTGGGCATGGGTCTCCTCAGTTTACCCCGCGGGGAGGTTGGTGGGCTTCCTCGGCCTTGGGCTCTTTTCCTGCCTGCTTTGTCAGATGCCCTCTGTGGGGTTTTAACTCCAGCTGGTTTTCCAGACTTTCCACCTGGTCTGTTTTGTGATTTCCATAATCACATCACTGTCCTCTGTCTGGGAAGGTGCTGGTTCCAGTTTCTGTTAGTTCTCTGCATGTATTTAAAATAGCTGACTTGGGGGCTGGGGATTTAGCTCAGCGGCATAAGCACCTGCCTTGCAAGCAGGCAGTCGTGAGTTCGATCCCCAGTACCGATAAAAAGGAAAAAGGAAAAAAAAAATGTAAAATAAAATAAAATAGCTGACTTGGACTCTCGTGGTGTAGCCCAGTCTGGGCTCCATCAGGGAAGGCTCCTGTCCTCTTCGGACTCCTCTCTTCCTGAGCGCAGGCCTGCAGGCTCCTTTCCTTGCTGTTTGTTGTTGCTGATGAAGTCGGCATTTTAAATAGGGTTCTCGCTCCCTCCCCAGGGCTTGGTGTAGTTTTGTTCCATGTCTGTTGCTTTTGCTGCTGTGTTTGTTTCCTGGTTGTACAAAATCTCTGTGTCTCATGATGTGTGTCTGCTGAAGTGTCTGCCACGTGCAGTGCTCAGCAAGCCACAGACAAATCCCACATGGCCCATCATGCCTGAGGTGCTGTGCACACCGAGGGGAGCCGCCAGGTCAGCCAGGTGGTGGCATCGAGCTCCACTTGCCCTTCGCTTCCTGCTGGCACAGAGCCTCAAGGTCAGTCGGAGGCGAGGGATGGAGCCTCGCTGTCCTTCCCTGGGCTGCACCACACACAGCACCAGGATGTGGCATTACAGGCCCCTGTGGGCAGTGCTTCCCTGCTTCTCCGCTTCCCCGCTCTCCTCTGGATGCTCCCTGCCCAGTCTGCTGCTGTCTCTGGGGTGGAGTCGTCAGAAGGTGCCTGCACTTGCCCGGCCTTGGGGCTCCATTCTCTGAGTGGGGTCCTCCCATCCCGCTGGGTCTTCCCTTCCGGCAGGCTGGCTCTCCCTGAACGGACTTGGGCGTGTTAAAAGCCCTAAACCTCACCATCCTCCACCACAGACTGCAAAGCTTCAGTTAATTTCCAAAATGCTGATTCTTTTTCTACCATTTTTCCTGTGAGCGGGGAAGAGAGAGGCTTTGGGAAAGTCCTTCCTCCACCTTTGTCCCTGTCACTCGAGAGGCCATGTCTACGCCTACTGGACCAGCCGCCTGGAAAAGTAAGGGGATCTTTGGTGACTCTCAGTGGAACTCTGCCCTGGGAACAGCCCCACTGCTGGGGACCCCAAGCTCATGTCCCCCATCTGTGTGCCGAGGACCCCAGCTCCTCCATGCCACTGTGTTAGGTGAGCATTTGGGAGCTGATTGAACCTCGAGGGCGGATTCGCTCAGGGGTGGAGGCCCTTTGAAAGCGGACAGGACATGGTGTGGTGGTGGCCAGGGGCAGAGCTCACAGCAGAGCCTGACCTTGAACTGTGAGAAATGGGTCATAATCCACCCAGGGGGCCGATTTCACCCTGATGTCCGGGGCAGGTATGAGGACATGTGTGTGGGCCTCGCCTCGTACAAACGAAGTCCCTGTGCCCATGGGAGGGGCTGCTGGGTCTCCTCGGCTGGTCCCTCTGCCATGTGAGTCACAGGGACCCAGAGTCCAGGTGGATCCCAGCACCACAGCTTTACGGGAGCTGTAAGCCCCTGAAGATGACACCAGTGCGATGTGCTCCTCCTAAAGTTATAAACCACTAAAATTTAAAAATCGTCCTTTTCAGAATGTGGATAGGTGAGATTAAATTATATTTACAAATGCTAAGTGTAATGCTGCTGCACTCTGGGAGGCTGAGGCAGGAGGATTGCATGTTTAAGCCCAGCTTGGACAACTCAGTGATTTGGCAAGATGCCCTCAGGGACAGAGTCCACTGTCCTGTGGAAGGCGGGGCTCCTGGTCTTCTTACTGAGTCTCCCTGCTGTCCTCTGTGTGTTTGCTGTGTGTCTTTTCTGGAGAGATAGCAACAGTGGAGCCAGGCTCATGAACGCCATCAGCAGAAGTTGCAAAATAAATAAATAGGGTGAGGGATGAAGCTCTGCTGAAGGCCTAGGGTTCTGTCCCCAGTACAGCCCCAGATAGACACCTAATGTATAAGGAAAATGAGAGTGAGTCCAGCCAGGATCATGCGACCGGTGCTGGGTTCAGGGCAACGCTTGCTTCAGAGGCAGGGTGGGGCTGGAGTGGGGGACTGAAGCCGGAGGTGGGCGGGGCAGGCGATAACTGTGCTGCACTCGGATGAACCAGCAAACTGCTGAGTGAAAGCTGGGCTGTGTGGGGAGGGCCATGAGGGCCGGCAGGGACTTCGGGTTAGGACCCTGCTAACTCTGCTCCCAATTCCCGTTGCAGCACATCTTTGAGAAAGGGATTCACACAGGTGATGGCTGTAGGGCTCCGCTTAGAGATAACAAAGGGAGGTGCCCTCTGCGTGTGACCGGCACAGCTGTTCTTACCTGGGGTGAAACCACGCTGAAAGCTGGAGTTCTTTCACTTGGCCATTCCTGAGGACAAAGGGACACCTGGTTACTCCTGAGCTGAACTCCACCCCAGCCCATCCAGCTCCCATCCTCCTTTCCTCGAGGTGGACCAGGTCAGGGGTCAGGTCAGGGGACCTTGGGAGAGGAGCTGGGGTTGCAGGGCTGGGCTGGTCCAGGAAGAGGTGCTGAGGGGATCATCGGCAAAGGAGGGATGGGAGAAAGATGCCAGCTGGGAGGAGGACTTCAAACAAATCAGCACACCAGCATTCTGGGAGGCCGAGGCCTGGGGGTCACCTGTTTAAACCCATCCAAGCCTCAAAAAGTTTTTTAAAAATGTTGCTGTATATGTAGCTCAGTGTCAAGGCCCTGGGTTTATTTTAAAAATCAACAGATCAAGTAAGATATGCATCCAAATACAAATTTGACTTATTTATCAAACGTGAGGCTCTGTTGGGAGCTGCCCAAGAGCGGCCAAGGTTTGGGGTCCTGGTGCCTGCCCTGATTCCCTTCGGTTTCAGGCTTATACTCGACCAGGCCGGCTGGCAGCCAGCAGAACCTTGGACACAGCAAATCCTGCAAGCTGAAGATGTGATAGACAAGCTCAGCTGGGCCACCGAAATTGTTCAGAAGGCCCCTGTGGCCGCTTGGGGCAAGACCGACCCAGCCAGGTTATGTGCAGTGCGCAGGGCGTGACCAGGAGGCTGAGCGAGCGGTGTGAGGACCCAGGGCTGCACAGCCTGCGTCTGTTTCCAGGTCCATCCCCGCTCCTGGACCTCGTCCTCACTCCTTAACCGGGAAAGCAAAACGTGCAGCTTTGACTGGAACCAAGGCCTAGTGTGGTAGAGACATCTACACCCCCAGAACTGAGCCTCACTTATGTCTTCACTGCAAACAGTGCCCGCTGCCGCTGCCGGGGGAGGAAGCCCCTCTGGATGCGGCCCGGGGCTGAGGCTGGCAGGGTGGGGGTGGGGGGCTATAGGCCAGCAGTGTGTGTTCATTCAGGGCTTAGAGTTTAGCCGCCCTGGCGGGTGTGCCGTGGGGTCTCACTGTGTTCACAGTGACCCTCCATGCTCTTTACCCATGTATCTTTTCCGGTGAGACCCTGCTTGGCTTCTTCTCCCATGTTTATTTTGTATTTAGTTAGTTTATTTATTTATATCGAGGATGGAACTCAGGATCTTGCCCTTGCCAGGCAGGCAGGAGCTTATGCCGCCAAGCTCTATCCCTAGCCTCAGTTTAGTTTAGTTTTGAGGTAAAGTTTTACTGTGCAGCCCAGGCTGACTCTGGACACACATCAGTCGTCCTGCCTCAGCCTTCTGAGTGCTGGGATCATGGGTGTGCGCCACCGCTCCTGGCTCCCTTCTGGTGTGTGTGTTTTTTCCCTTCTGTGTTTTAAGTGGGGTTGTTTCTTTCCCATTGGGTCTTTGGGTGGCAAATCCTTCATCACACACATGTGCCGTGCTGAGGATCAATCTCTGAGGACACTGTCCCTCAGAACACAACTGCGTTTCTACCACACATGGCAGTGTGCACACACCTAGGATCCTGGCACTGTGGAGCTGAGGCAGGAGCATCATCATGAGTGCAAGGCCAGCCTGCACTAATGCAGAGTGAGCCCCTATTGCAAGGAGGAAAAAAAAAGAAAGAAAGAAAGAATAAACAAGAACCCTTTGCAATGACACCCAGAGCTGCTACGCTGCACCTGCCGATCTGAATGTGGAGGAGCTGGGTCCGCATGTCCCGGGCTCATGGGCTCAGGGCACCTTTGCAGTTCTCTGGAGTCTGCTCCCTCCTGCCTGTGCTTTACGGCCTTTGCGGTGTCACCAGTCATGTCCCTGCCAAGTAGTCTACACTTGTCCTTGGTCTGGAACGCAGAGCCCAGCAGCTCGGGGACTGGGTCCAGGCCGGGCCATGCACTGCTGTGAATGCCACTCTGTGCTGCAGCCACAGCAGTGCTTGGCCCCTGGGGAAGGCCCCACAGCTCGGGCCCTGAGCTCCCTGAAGCTCGGTATCACTCTGTATCTCTACTTACCTGAAGTAAAGCTTAGCCATCAGCAGTGTCACAATGAATGAGATCAGGAACAGGATCCTTTTAAATTTCATTCTATCCTAGGGCAAAGGGGAGAGAAAGCATGGTGTGAGCCACTCACAGACATTGTGTGAGAGGACGACAAGCAGAATGTGACTGCAGTCCCAGGTGCAAGGCAGAGGGGCTGACGGGAGCCAGGCCCCCTGGGTTTTCAGCGCACAGGAGCAGAGGGGAAGTGAGGTGTCTGTGCCCAGGGGATAGCCGAGGTCTCCGCATCAGCAGGCAAGGGGTTGGCGCCTGGCCTCAGGTGCTGGGCTCCCACAGGACTTGCATCTGCATGCCTATGGTGACAAGTCTACACAGAGGGGTCTCTGAGATGGCACTGCCGAACACTCCCTGAGCAGGGATGTCGGCACAGCTACCCTGGCTGAGGCAGGTGGTGTGGGCACGAGCTCATAGCTCTGGAAGTGGTGCCCCTAGGCCTGGATCCTCCCCCACCCCTGCCTGGTGCTGCCCTCCTGCTGTGCTGACTTGGGGGCTGTGTGAATCCATTTGGTACAGTAAAGCTGACTGCAGAGCTGACCCACCTACCTCTTTTGACCCCAGGGCAGTGACACCACAGACACTGAACACTGCCAGTGTGGACCGTGTCCTCTCACTTTCCACAGCCACCGTGGGGAGGCCACAGTGGTCAGGTTCTCCGTGCAACCTGGAACTGGCCACTTTGCAAGCTGGCCCCAAGGATCCCTCTGGCCAGTCTCTTCTCTGCGGTATGGTCCCTCAGCCACCACCTGTTCTGTACTCCCTCTGAGGTCAGGGTCCCGAGATGATCCCCACTGGCCACTGTAAAACGAACCCCTAAAATTCCTTCATCCCTCTCTTCTACTCCCCTCTGCCAGGGAGACCTCAGCCCCTGAGGACAGGCATCATCCTAGGGCAACTCTGGAAGGCCCTTCCTCTGCTCTGGTGGCCCCAGACTCTCCACAGTGGTGACGTTCCCAGGCTCCTTTGATGATGTGTCACCGTGGTAACCGCCTGGAGGTTCTGGTTTCGTGTTCCAGACCAGGATTTGGTCCTGCTGGACGAACTGAAGCTTAGACCCTGTCTTCAGGTGTTCCTAGGCTTTTCATTTTCTTTGCCAGGCCCACTGTCTTTCTAATGATCGGTTCTGATTTGTGAGTGAGTGATGTTTAGGACAATGTGTATGGGTGTATGTGATGGGTCAGGCAAAGCCCCAAATTCAGAGGAGAATTTATGTCATATAGTATTTTATAAATAGAGAAAGGTGAGCTATTTTATACTAAAATTAAAAGGTAAATGTATTTTAAAACCCTGAATGGTTCTAGTAAAATACTGTCATCATCACTGTTGTGCTAAAATATAGTTTTGCTCTATATTTTAAATTTTCCTTGTAAAACTTTACAATTGTTATCTGATAACATTCTACAAAAATGTGACTTGGAACAGACAACTGAAGAAGCTCATAAACCATCACCGAGGGTCCAAATAGGAGGACACTGATTCCTGATACTAATGACCACCATTAGTAGAAGAGGTAGGTGCTGGTCCAGGTCAGCACCTTCGTATTTCCTTTTGTTTTTCTTTTTGTCTTTTTGAGACAGGGTTGCACTATGCAGTTCAGGCTGGTTTTGAACTCGCCAAGTAGCCCTGGTTGGCTTTGAACCTGTGGTGCCCCTCCTGCCCCAGCCTCCTAATTGCTAGGGTTACAGGCATGCACCATCACACCCAGCTGGTGCTTCTCATTTTCAGAGTATGCAGTATTCAAAACCATCACAATTGCAGAGATGAAAGCCTGCTGCTTCCATTTCCAAGACTGGTGCCACTGAGCTGGGTGTTCAACAACAAGGCTTAGAGACCAGAGTGGAAAAAAGGTGACCGGGCTAAGAGGAGAGCCAAGATTTTGAGCCCAGTCCCCAAGATCACCCAGGACCCAGGACAGGAGGGGACCCCTCTGAAGGAGGTCCTTGAACCCTGGAGTACAGCAGTCAGTGTGCACTGTGCTCAAGCCAGGGTCACAGAAGAGACACGTGTCCCCCTGCCTTCACAGGAGGCCACACATCAAGCAGACCATGGTCCCCGCTGTGGCTGAAGCAACTGGGAGACTGGAGGAGCCAAGGGGCTCTGCACATGGCCCGGAAGTTACCATCGAGAAGCCTTAACACAGCTTGGCAAAGGGAGAGAAAGAGAAAGACAGAGACTGAGAGAGAGAGAGAGAGAGAGAGAGAGAGAGAGAGAGACAGAGAGAGAGAGAGACAGAGAGACAGAGACAGAAAGAGACTGAGACAGAGAGAGAAAGAGACAGAGAGAGATTAATTCTGATGAACACAGGCCTTACTCTGACTCGATCTTAACCAACAGGCAAATATAACCAAAAATATGCACCGTATCTGAGAGAAACCATGTGATATCTAAGATCGTATGTCTGGTTTATTTCACTGGACACTGAGGTTTCAGGCTGCATCCTACAGAGGACCTGGGTTTGTCTGTGGCAGAGCAGCGCTCCTCGCCTGTGACGACCACAGGATCGTTCCTCACTCGTCAGCCGACGGACCCAGAGGCAGCTTCCGAGTCAGTGGTGTGAGCTGCGCCCCTGTAAACACCGTGTGCGTGTTATAGACACGCACAAAGTAAAAGCCAGAGGAGAAGCAGGAGACAGCTCCTTCTCAGAGGGAAATGAATTAGAACGGGGATGAAGACTGGTTATGTGTGTGACCTCCGCCCAGGACTGCGTGCTTCACAGATGGCACGTGGGTACTAACAAGAACACACACAGAGACAGACACACACACACACACACACAGACACAGACACACAGACACACACACACACACACACACACACACACACACACAGAGTAACAGTAAAATGATTTCAAAGCCACGTGCTGGCACGTTGACCTCACACCCTCTGCAGGCCAGGATGTTGCTACTGTAGTTCGCTTGTCTGCGTGGGGCCCAGTGGCCCTGAGCCTCAGCCTACAGATCATCACAGTCTGGAGCTGTCACCACTGCTGTTCTTTGTGGCTCTGTGTCTTCTTGTGTCTTCTCCCCTCCCACAAGGGCACCCCGGCTCAGGCTGCGTTCCAGGGCCGCCTCTTTGCTGACCCCCAGTGACAGCGTCTCCACAGACGGTTGCCTGTCCAGGCTTGGGGCACACACAGTGCCCAACACCCACAGCTCTTCCACAGCTCATTTCCTCATGCATGGTGCCGTCAGATGCCCTCCTGCACCTGAGCCCCGGGAGGGCGTTCCTCACACCCACCACAGGCAGACCTGCTCTCTCCCAGCGGTCCCGGACTCTGCTACATGACTGCACAGAACTCCTGGGCTTGGGCATCCTGATGTGAGGAACTGCACCCAACACCTTCCAACGCTGAGTCTTGCAAGTCCCCTTGGCTTGTCATTGTCCCTGCATTGGGCACAGAGCCCTGGGGACTCTCAAGCCAGGCCACCCCAGTCCCCAAGTCCTGGAAGCACCTGAAAGCTTTCTGATGACAGGGAGAACTCATTGCATTCGGCCTGCCCAGGGGAGGGATGACCGGGTACCATCGGGTCAGCACCACGCACAGCACTGTGCATGTCAACCCTGCACCCTGGCTCCCAGCTCATGTCCCCACCTCTGCTTCAGGCCTGAAGCAGACAGAAGAATGCCTGTGTCCAGCAGGGTCAGACAAACTGGCCATGTCAGGCAGGGCTAATGGACACTCTTGGAGCTCCTGGTGGTCACACAGAGTAGGTGCCCAGCTCACTGAACTGCCAACACAGTGACCCCATGTGTCCTCCAACAGGGCCCTGATTCCCTCTGAGCTCCTTGGGCCTGCCTGGAGCTACCTGGCTGGACAGCACCCCAAGAACAGAAAAGGAGGCCCCACTCCGGGGAGGAGAAGAGACACTTGCATGGGTTCCTCCTAAGTAAGGATGCTCTCTCTTTGGAACTGCAGTTTCTTAAACCTTTCCTAAAAACAAAGAGGTGTGTGGTGGCTCATGCTTGTAATCCTGCACTCAGGAGGCTGAGGCAGGAGGATTGCCTCAAGTTCAAGGCCAGGCTGGACTACAGAGGGAGATCCTGTCTCAAAAACACAAACAAACAAACAAAAACCTCAACTATTAGCAAGTTATTAAGAAGAATACACTTGGAAGGAAGGAGATCAATGTCCCTAGAAATGCCAGCATCTCTCTCCAGTGTGTGTGGGGGGGAAAGCCCCTCAACATGGGGAGCAGATGGGGCTTGCAGGGGCGGGAGCAGGTCCACAGGGCATATGTACCTTGGTGTCTCCAGTGGACAGAGCAGGTGCAGCCTGGAGGGGAGGGGACACTGCAGACACCTGATACAGGGGCTCCTGAACCATCCCTTGGCCCAGGCAGAGCAGCACAGACCTCCTGGGGACAGGGTGTGGGCATAGGAAGAAAGGTGCCCTATGCCACCTCCAACCACCCTGGGCAGAACTTGGAGGCCAGCATCTGGATGCCGCAAGGCACCCAGCTACCCTGCAACCCCAGGACTGCCTGGCACTGCCACCCGAGCCCTCCGGAAGCAGGCAGGAGGCCAACCTACATCTAACCTCAGCCTGCTTTCCTGAGCCTTTGCACTCTAGACGGTTTCCTGGCCACTTCGAGGGCACCCTGGAGCTGGGGCCTTCCCAATCCTGGAGTCCAAGTCCTGTAATGTTCTCTGGCCAGCGTGGCTGCTGTGCCCCAGTTCTGACTCATAACTGTCAAAGTTAGAGCCCTTGGGTAGGTTAAAGGTCCTGGGAGACCCCAAGGCAAGTGGGGGACCAGCAGGGCACTGAGGACTATAGGTGAGCAACTGAATGAGGGCCCGAACCTCCACGTGACCAGCACCCTGTCCCTCCCTCTGCCCCTTCTGATCCAGGCAGACACCAAGTCCAGTGGAAGCTGGGCTGCTTTTAGCCGGACTGGGAGCAGCCAAGGGCAGCAGTTGCGGGGGCCCTTGGCTGAGCTCCAAGCAACACAGGATGTGTGTGGATGGGCCGGAGACATGGTGCCACCCCCCAGCCAGAAGGAAAGTGCAGAGCTAGTATAAAAGATGGGTGGCCAGCTGGGTGCCCACTGGAGACCATGGCGCTGCTCCTGCTGGGCCTGGTGCTGAGCCTGGCCTCGGCTCAGGAGTTCCACTCTGAGGAGATTGTGGACCAGGACTTCAACATGGCCAGGGTGGGCTGAGGCCTGTGCTCCTGCACTGTGGTCCCTAGCCTGGGACAAGGGCAGCTGCACAGCAGTCAGAGATGGAGAGAGGACCTGAGCCGAGGGGAGAGGAGAGTGGCCAGGGGGGAAAGGGAGAGGGTATGGCTGGGGGGCGGGGGGTGGGGGGACCCTGGCTCTAGGAGAGAGCCTCACATCACAGCCACCTCCACAGGTCGAGGGGTCCTGGTTCTTGATATCCTTGGCCTCCAACAACATGACAAGGATTGGGGTTACTGGAGACCTGCAACTCTATATCCGGGACATCAAGTTCCTGGATGGCAACCTCAAGTTCAGCTTCCGCTTCATGTGAGTGTCGCCCCAGCGGAGGAACCGGGGTGCCCAGCCCCGACTGCACATGTACACGCTTGCCGTGATGGGCATGCACCAGGGTGGTGCATGGAACTCATGTAGGAGGTCAAGATGACAGGGACGGGGGAGCCCGAGGGGTGAGGGCAGCCCAACTGCTCAGCTGGGGAGCGCAGGGAGGGTCCCCCTGCGCTGGTGAGGTACAGGCAGCCCACATGTGCCCTGGGGCCGATGCCTACCCCGTGCTGCATCCAGGCTGCAGGGGCAGTGTGAGCCCGTGACTGTGCTCTGCAAGAAGACCCAGAGAAATGGAGAGTTCTCCATTGCCTGTAAGTGGGGTGGGGAGCCGGGAACTCCTTCTGCTGGGGCCCAGCCCACTTCCTGGGGTCCGCTGCTGGGCCAGGCCAGCTGGGCAGTGAGCTGCTGTGTGGGGAATCAGCATGCAGAGGCCTGGGGGGCCGCATGCTGCTGCGCAGGGGCCTCCACCCAAGCCGGCACGCCTCCCCGACACCCCCACCCCTGGAAGGGCCCTAAAACCATCTCACACAGCCCACTGCACGTGTCCCAGAGCCCAGGGAGTTGGGCTGCTTGGGCCACGCTGAGCCTCATCTCCACCCAGACGAGGGGGAGAACAAGGTGCTGGTCTTGGAGACCAACTACTGGATGTACGTCATCTTCTACCTGCGGAACATCCAAAACGGCATCGAGACCCGCGTGCTGGCTCTCTATGGTAGGGTCTCTATGGTAGGGATGGGGGTAAGTCCGCATGGCCCTAGGGCTGGGCAAGGGCCCCCAAGACTAGCCACAGGATGGAGCTTCAGCACCTGAATCTGCCTGGGACGACCCCCATCGCACAGCCCCCAGGCCTGCCCCCTACATAGTCCCAATTCTGCCCTCAGGACGCATCCCAACACTCAGCAGACCCTACCTGGACAGATTTAAAATGGCTTACAGCAAATACGGGATGCACCCAAGCAACGCCATCGACATGGCCCAGAAAGGTGGGCTCCACACACCCCGGGCCCGCGGAAGGGGGCAGGGGCTGGCAGCCTATCTGAGAACTCCATCTCCCCAGGTCCCTGCTACTTTTAGTGGAAGAGTCACCGGCCCAACCTTGGGGTGCGTGAGCTTCAATGGGGCACAGGAGGGCAGCTTGGGGTGGCAGTGTCCTGGATGGGAGGTTGGGGTCTTGGCCCTGAAGGCTACAAGTACCATTTCGCTAAGTTCCTCTCTCACCGGGCCATCAGGCTTTTCTGGAACACAGATCGAGCGTATGGTGGCCAAGCTGCTCTGGACACTCTGGGTCAGGTTCCTGTGGCCTTGTGGGAATGGGGTTGGGGCAGCCCTGGAAATCAGGCCGCTGGAGGCCACAGCCCAGTGGGGTCAGAACAGTGGGGATTTGCTCTCCTGCAGCTCTGTAGTCTGGACATCGGAGGCCTAGGGTCACAGGCTATGTATGCTCCCCAGGGCTCTAGGGAGGGTCCCTCTGTCTCACCTGGCTGCTGGTGGCTCCAGGTATCCTTGGCAGGTGCTGGAATGATTCATCTGGACCTCTGCCTCCATCTCTGGGAACCCCACCGCCCTGCCCCCAGTCTCCAACAATGATGCCAGGCTTCAGACTCTGGACCCACTCCACTAGGCATCCGAACCTGAGTGCATCTGTGGGAAACCTGTCTCAGCACAGGCCTAAAGGATGTCGCTTCCTGAACAACAAATTAGGAAAAAGCTCTGTAGTAAGGTCATCTTGGAGATGCTGGCCAGAGCCCATCTAGGACCGCTGACAACACTAACATCCCTGCATGTAGTTGGGCTTCACCTCAGAGGATTGTATGTAATACGCTCAGCAAAGATTTGCAGGGAAAAATAAAAAGAGGGGAAATGTAACAGAAAACACTCCCACCCCACCCCACCCCACCCCATCCCCACCCTCAGCCAGTGTACTCCAGTTTCTCTGCCCAGGTAATGGTTCCCATTCCAGATCCGATTGCTCCCCTTAGAAACGGCTGGTCACTATGGGGCACATTGTATAAGCCAATCCCAACTGACCAGCCAGTCTGCCTCTGTACCCCTGCCTCTTGTCCTATATAAGAGGGGTCAGAGGCTGATATTCTGGGAATGGACCTGACCAGTGTGTGCCCACGTAAATAAATCTGCCTCCAGATCTGGATGTCGTCTCAGTGTTTCTGCTTGCCGTTGCAAAACTTTTTTTTTAAGTAAGCCTCATCCTCAGGTCCAGGCATAAGGATGGGCCTTATCTTCTGGGGGTACCATTCAGCACCTCTAGGTACCATCTCAGGAATGGACAGTGGCCCCAAAAGATAACCCTCAGAGCCACTTTTGCTTCCCAGTGTCCGGCCCCAGAGTCATTGTCTGGAAGTGGGGATCCCCAAGGCTCCATGGTGTGAGGGTCCAGTGGGACAGGAGCCTGGTGCTCCCAGGAAGAGGCCTGGGAGGCCATGGGGCCACTCCTCCATGCCACTCTGTGAATGAAGAGCAACTGTCCACACAAGGAGACACATGGCCCATGGCCTCCAACAGGCTCATGTGACACATACTTGGTCCCTCCACCGGCACTGAAGGGAACAGTGTGGACAGACAGTAATGCAAGAAGGTTATGGAGAGTGGGAAAGTCCCCCCCATCTTCACAGATCTTTAAGGAGGCAGAACACCAGGGGCTGGGGGCGGGGCAGCAGGAGGGCCTTGCCCCTGGGGGAGGAGAGGAATGCACAGAGCTGTCCACACACACACACTCAGTCCCGGGTCCACTGGAATGGGGAGCCATGTCAGGGCAGGGCAATCCTGTGAGTGTCCTAGGATTGAGCCAGCTGTGGCTGTGGTGAGATCGGGTGGGGACATGGGGACGCTGAGGTCGCTCTTGTCCCTTTTCTCAAATGCAAATGAATCTCCATCCCCTCCACACAAAAGGTGCACTCCAGGCAGCCAAGGAAATGCTGATGGGACCTCCAGCCCACTGCCAGGGGCCAGTCCCCTTTGTTACCGCCCAGCACCGCCTCCACCTCCCGATGTCCTCCTGAGATCAGGGACCTTGTGGTAAATGTTCTGCTCCTGCTGCCCTGAAGGTGCAGAGAGGGCATCTAGAAGGCCCAGCGCTGGGGCCCAGGCTGCACGGCTCTGCGGTCCTTGCAGGGGTCACCCCACAGTTGGCTCACACAGACAGCAAAGCCCAGCACCAGAGATGTTGGGAGAAGGCCAGGGTCATGGTTCAGGTGGGTCCATTGTGTGAAGGCCAGGCACAGCCTGCTGCCCCTGCTGAAGGCCTGGTCACTGGGGCAGAACGGCCTGGCTGGCTGAGCCTGGTAGGGGACACATAGGAAGCTGCCCATGCATCCAGGAGCTACTGGTGTGGAAAACTGGCTCTTAGCAGAGCAGAAAGGCAGCTGCCATGCGAGGGGAGCTGCCTGGCAGCACAAGGGGTCCCCATAGAGTCCTGAGAGGCTCTGCCTGCCCTGGGCTTGTGCTCAGTTGTGAGGCTGGTATTGACCTGCAGCTTCCAGCAGTCTCTATGTGGATGGGAGGACCCAGCAGGGGCAGGGAAGCTGGCCCTGGGGCTGGAAGGTCCGGGCCAGGAGAGCCCAGGCAAAGTGGAAGGGGACAGAGAGGGTGACTGCACCCTGGGCACTGAGTGCCCCGCTTCTGCTGTCCTCGCTTACCCAGCCTTGGGGCAGGGCTGTGCAGGCTAAGGCCACTTCCCGAAACTTCCAGAGGAAGCCCTCTGCAGAGGCCTGTGCCACCAGGCTGTCCCAAGAAGCCCAAGTGACAGTGGTTTGTGTCCCGTCCCAGCAGGAGGGGTACCTTCGTCCTGTGCCCATTCTGTAGTTGTCCTTTCTCCTCATAGGATTCCACTCCTTTCCTAGCCATGGTCACTCCCCCACCGCCGACAGATGCCCCGGCCCCCGCCCCACGCCTCCTTGGCCGCATCTGTTGACAAGTGGAGACCCTCATCTACTTACACAGCTGTCCATGCAGGGCTCCTGGGAGTTGGGCTGCAACCCACCCCTCCGTGCCTGACTTCCAGCCTGACTTCCTGCTGACCCTGAAGCCTGTGTTCCTTCAGCCCCCGGGCATGGGTGCCCAGAGTCTTAACATCAGGGCGCTTTCGCAGTGAGGATGCGACGGCCCTGGTGGGCAGGGCGCTGCTTGTGGGTGCTGGCTTGGGACCAGTGGGGTCACCTGAAAGATGACCGCCGTGCCATCCGGTGATCATGGTACGGAGGTTGGCGGGGCTCCCTCAGCACACGGTGCGGGCTGCCACACATGTCAACAGCCCTTGAAATGAGGCACAGTGCATGCCTCCTCTAGTGGCCATCAAAATGCACCCTGCTGGTCCTGAAAATTAACATTTCAGGCTGACAGCAAGCAGGAAGCAGGAAGCAGCCAAGGGCTGCACAGTGGGTGCACAGTGGCTGGAGGCAACGGTGGCTGTGGCCCTGTGAAGGGGATGCAGGCTTTGGAAGCAGGGAGAGTCGAGTGTCAGCCACACTGGGAAGGAGCCTGATCAGTCACAGAGGAGGGAACGGGGCAACTGTCACCTGGGCACAAGAAGATCCCATGATCCCCGCAGTGCCTGATGCCCAGGGGTGGAAATGCTGGTCCCATCTCCTCCCACCAGGTGACCTGCACAGGCACAAGGCTCCAGTGGCCCTCACTCAGCTGCTGCAGGGACCAGACCTTTGAGTGAGGAATATGAGGGTGGTGCCCCAGATGGTCTCAGAGCCATAGGTGCAGGGCAGGTGGCAGCATAGCAGGGCCCCAGGTTCCCTGCACCTCTCTGTCTCTTGATCCAATCTGCACCATGGAGCCTCACCTGGGAAGGGCTGAGCCCAGGGCTCAGCTGTGGTGCTGGGGATTGGAAGGCAGCAGCCAGAGAGAGCCAGGGGTCTGGCTCCAGGCCAGGGGCAGCACTGAGAAGGTGACCCTGCCATGGCTCAGAGACTCACTGGCCTCACAAAGACAAACCTAGGGGCCTTGGCTGGCCTCCACCTCTGCCTCTGCCTCTGCTGCTTTCATGGACCAAATGTCCTCTTGTCACACAGACAACAGGCCTATGGGGGAGGCCACTCCATGCCATTGTGAACCCATCCTCGCTGGCTGCATCCGTCTGGCCCCAAATTCACAGGCAGCCCATGAGCCTGGATCCCACTGCCCAGCTGGGTTCCTGCCTAGTTGCCTTCCCCGGTCAACTATGCATTCACTCCCAGGAGCCCTTGGTCCATGGCTCATGCCTCTGGCTATGTCCCGGCAGATGCAGTGGGCACCCGGCTGACTCCAAGGTTCTGTGGGATGCCCCAGTGGACTGTTGACCCTGGATGTGGGCTGTGTGGGACATGTCGTTTTTGGCGTCAAAGGTAACAGAGAAGAGACAAGGGCCAGCTAATATTCAGGAGGCTCTTGAGGTGTAGCCGGAGCTCTTCCTGGGCCTGGCGTCTGGAAGCAGCAGGAGCTGCCAAGCCAGAAAGACCAGATGAGGAGGACAGCCCTCTGCTGACAGTGGTCTAACAAAGGCCTGTTGGAGGTGAGCACATAGGGAGGCAGGGCCAGGCCTGGGCCGGAAGGGCAGTCCCACCCCCTGGGGGTGCCACAGGCAGGCAAATTCCTTGTGCCCACAAGTCTCCGAGAGTCTTGGGCACCCCAGTGGAACTTCTGCCACAGACTTGGGAAGACCCACGCCACCAGGACCTAGGTCAGCTGGGTGGGGTTGGGTGGCAAGGGGCACAACTGTCCCGCAGGGCATAGCCAGACCTGGGCCAGGTGTGGGGCTCCTCCAAGGGTTGGCCATGGACTTGAGGGCAATAGTGGAGTCTGCAGCCCCAGTCCCAGCTTGGCAGGAACATGAGACCAGGCCTAAAGAGGGAGGCAGCCGGGATCTGGGGTCAGCAGAACTGAAGCCTGGACCCTTTCTCCTCAGCCCCTCAACTGGCCACCCAAGGTTTCAGGGAGCCAGCCAGTCTGACAGCCAGTGAGGGACACAGTCCAGGCTGGCAGACGGGCTGGGTGGAGCTCTGGGCAGGGGCAGAGCCTGAAGGAGGGGCCTGTGAAGCATGTGTAAACACACACACACACCCCTGTGCGGTTCTCCAGGACTGGTGCAAGACAAAGGCAAAGAAACTCTGGAGCAAGGGATATCAAAAAAGCAAGTCAGGGCATGGAGAGAGGTACAGAGCCAGGTCTGGCGTCCCATGACCACGTGGCGACCAGTTCCCCCAGCTGCCCTGCTGGAGGCCACAAGAGGATCCTGAGGGCAGCGCTGCTGGAAGGCACAGAGTTGAGGTTTGGCGGAAGTGAGCCGCTCTGCTCTGACAGGGCGCCCACGACGAGGACAGGAATGATGATGACAAGGGTGTCCCCATTGTGCACCTCACTGTCATACAAAGCACTGGGAGAAAACAAGAACACGACCCCAGGCAGCTTGACGGAGCTCCATGACAACACCAGGAACACAAAGAGGATGCAGTTCTGCACTGACTGTCACGCTCCTCCCTCAGGGGCTGTCACGTGGGTGTGCATGGCAGGGTTCACGATGGCTGCAGGAGGGCTCCCACACCGTGGGCCCACCCCAAGTTCCCATAGCATCCCCCCAAAAGGCATCAAGGATGTGGGGTCAGAGGCCTGTTTGATTCTTCTTTCTGCAATGAACCAGAACTAAGGAAGTCAAGTCCACACCCATGGGAGCTGCAGTTCACAGTGCCACACCCTCTCTGGGGTCCTCCTGCCTCTGGCAGGGGCGGAAGGAGCCACTCACTGGCTGCTTGGGCATGGCTGCGGCCAGAGGTGGGCAGAAGAGAACAGAGAGGCTCTGTCCCGCAGGACAGCATCAGCAGGAAAACCCAGGATGACCCAGAGACAGGCGGGGCCAGGATGGGATCCTGTGAGCAGCAGGGGCAGATACCTTTGGGCCTGAGACACAGAAGTGGGATGTCCAGTTTGGTGTGCTATGCCAGGTGAGCCAAGAAACAAAGAGGTCAACAGGTGATGCATCCACCATCGGACCTAAAGCGATGCCCGGAGCACAGCAGCACTAGAGTCACTCATGTGTGCACAGCCCTTCTGACACCTGGCCATCTGGCCACCTAGTTCCAGAGTGAGATCCACAGCCCATGCCATGTACCAGGGAGGGATAACTCTGTGGTTATAAAGGGCACCCTAAGCTCAAACCAGGTGCAGGTGACTTCACAGCCCTGCCCGCCTTGCCCTCAAAGGGTGACTCTCTCTTCTGACACTAAATTCTCCCTGCACATCTGTTGGCCACCTGTGGGTCGTGACTGAAGTCCTTCACCAAGGGCAGCAGGACCCACAAACCAAGGAAATGAAGGGTGGTCTGCTCCTGCATCAGAACCTGGCTTCCTGGTGACACCTGGTTGGGAAGTTACCGTAGATGGGGCTCTCACGTACCCATGGACACTCAGGGACTAGGTGATTGGTTGATTCAGAGTCTGGGGTGGACAGATGCCCCCAGGTCTGACACCCCATCCCATGCCCCGCTGCCCACCTGCGGATGAACTCTGCAGCACCCAGGCCTTGACCCTGCTGCTACCCGCATCTGCAGTCACCTGAGGTGGCCCTTGGACCATTCCCCCGTGCAGGGGAGTGGCCAGGTGGTGAGAGCACCCTCCCTTCTCCCTGAGCTACGCTGAACACCTGGCAGGTGTCCAGTGGCTGCCATCCTGGGAATCACACCCAGCTGCTGGAGCAGGCAGGATTCCAGAATGGGAGCATGGCACGCTCAGGGACAGTAGAGCAGACGATTGGCTCTGGATGCCCCTGACCGGTCCTGACCAGGCACATGGCACACCAGTTGCCACTGAAGGGAGGGAATGAGCCTAGAAAGCTCTTCCTCCTGTGTGGAGAGCACTGAGCAGCTGGGAGTGCTGCACCCACTGAGCTGCAGGAGGAGAAAGCACCCCCAGACAAGATACCCCCACTTTCAGGAAGTGACCCTGAGGATGGGCCTGCAGAGGACAGGGTATCCCCTGGCTCTGAGCAACATCTGAGTGTTTTGAGGTGAGGCCACTGGCTTCCTCCATAGCCCCAAGGGTTTCCTGGCTCAATACAGAGCTTTCTCCCAGAAGTGGGGTTCCTGCCTCTGACACCCAGGCACTCCACTGAACCCATGGGAGCAGGGGTTTAGGGAAGGGGGAGCAGGGACCAACAGCTTGGGAGGAATGGGGGTCAGAGCCTCAGAGAGGCACCAGTCATGGTAGATGTGATGGGCCTGGAGCTTTCTGGGAGGTGGAGGGCCCCTGGGCAGGCCCAGCCATTCCTGCAAGAGGTCCCTCTGGGGTCCATGGCCTGTTGCCCTGACCTCTCAGGGTCTCTGGAATAAAATGAAGCTGAAAGCAGGGCCAGAGCAGGGGGAGATATGCCTGCCTCGTGCCGCTCCCCTCCTCCAAGGCCAGCTGCAGGCGTCCTCCTGCTCTCTGCCTCTGAGCATACACGATACAATGCTCAGCCCATCCAGCTGAACTCCTTGCCCTGAGACTCTGCCGGCAAACACAGTCCCTGGCTGCTTGGCCACAGGAGAGGTGGTGACTCCGGGGACCATCATTCTGCTGACTACTGTGTCTCAGGGAGCAGGATGGCTGGACTGGGCAGACAGGACCTTCAGACGTGGGTGCTCCAGGAAGGAGGACACCCACAGAGATGCCCACTGGGGGGCTGTGCTCTTCGCAAGGAGGGTGAGAGCACGAAGGAACTACAGACCAGGCGGACACAGGGCATCATCCATGCGTCTGTCAAGAACCAAACTGGTTTCCTGGACTTCCGGGAGAACATGGCGGACAGATAGCAGCAGCTATGGAGGCTCTATGAAAGACCCAGCTTAGAATCCAGGAATGGTGCAGAATGAGGAATCCTAAGCAAGAGAGGAGATATATCCTGCTGACCCAAGAATGAACTGGGCTGAGAGAAACCAACTGGGAATGCAATCCTGGTGCTATAACAGGAACAGATAAAGCCTCCACATGGAAGCTGGAGCCCTTGCCATTGGAAACCGCGATTTGGGTTTCCTGCCACCACGGCTGCGTCTGAATCGGCTTGGCAGGGAGACAGACGCGCGAAAGCTCTGAGAACGGGAATCGGTGAACGGAGTTGAGAGCAGGATGGGCGGGGAGCCGTGCATTGACCTGCGGTGAGTGAGAGAAACTGGGACTCTTCCATGATCTAGGAGGCTCCAACAGAGGACATTCTGGGACCGGGCAGACTTGCCGGAATAGGGCGCTGTAGTGACTTCAGTCACATATCCCCCTCTCAAGCGGGACTGGTGAACAGTGCCTAGCCTACATGATGCTGCTGGCTGAGACCCAGTAGGCTAGCACAGCCCAGGTCCCAGCACCTGAAGGTGACCTGGAGGGGCGGGCTCCACATACACTGCCTGCTCTGTAACTCCCTGGTGCGCTGCGGTGGGCGGGAACACCTAGCCAGCGCAATTCAATCAGACTGTGGCCAACAGGGAAGGAAGCTGGGCCTCCTATATACACTTGTATATATAAGGAACAAAGAATATGGGAAGAGGGAGCAACAAGAGAGGCCCCTCAGCCCCCAATCCTGAGAAACAGGCAATAGCAGACACTGCACCAATAGACATAAAGCACTATCTCCAGAGCCTCTAGACGAGTTCAGGAATGAAGTTATTAATGACCTGAAGCTAGAAATAAGCAGAATAGTTAGAGAAATGCTAAGCACCACCCAAGAAAAAACAGATGGTGGAATGGAAGAACAGAAAAAGAGGGGAGAATTGTTTGATGGAGAAAATAAAGAAAGCATAGAATACATGAAGCAGTTTCAAAGAGATTACCAGGAAACTAAAAACTCTATCGAAAACTGGCATAACAGCTTGAAAGAAACTAAGGATAGATTATCTGAACTGGAGGCCAGATTTGTAATATGGGAGCATGAAATGGAAAACTTCTTAAAAATAACAAGAAACAAACAGCAATAATACAAAGACTAGAAGATGATAAGAGGATCTATAACTTAAGAATTAAGAACATAAAAGAAGTAGGGACACAAACAAATGAACTACAAAAGCTACTTGCAGAAATAATCCAGGACAATTTTCCTAATTTAGCAAAAGGTAAAGATACTCAGATGTGTGAAGCATTCAGGACCCCAGCCACCTACAACCCAAACAGAGCTACACCCAGACATATAATAATCAAAATACCAGAAATCCAATATAAGAACAGAATATTAAAAGCCGTCAGAGACAAGAAACAGATCACTTACAAGGGAACACCCATCAGAATTACAGCAGACTTCTCGGCACAAACCATCAAATCACGAAGAGCGTGGGGGGAAATAATTC